TTTCCTTTAACGGTGGTTCCCAACTTCATGCTTTCAGCTAAAAGCATTTATTTCCAGGAGAGCACTGGGGGGGCGACACAACAGCTCCTGGTTGCACTCACACGTTACCTGTTAGTAAACTCCCTGCGCCGCGCAACACGCCTCTTCAGTCTGTGCTTCAAATTGTCCTGAATCGAAGCTATTGCATGTCGTGACACCCATCTTTGTAAGCCTGTAAAATATTGTCATGTAAAAATGCACATGTCTACTTAAAATAAAAGCTTCTCACTGCCAAGTAACAAGCTCCGGTGTGATTGTTCGGGCCAGGTGATGTGGGCAACTGTTTTCTTCTCAGAGGTGCTCATGTGTCTCTCCCCCCTGCAAGCAAAGCAAACATTCAGAAGCGGTGACGGACAAGCACAAGCTCTCGATCCTCCTCCTTTACGCAGGACGTTTGTTTCCCCAGGACGGTGGTGTGCTCCCATGGCACGGGGATTTATAAATACTTTTGGTGGGAAGAGCAGTGGGATCTGTGAGGAGCTGTGTCCTTTCTGGAGCAGGTCTCTCCACAGCCAGGTTGGGTTGACCAGGAGAAGAGTCAGGTTAACTGCTTTGAAAACCAGAAACATCATCTTTCTCACATTCTGTGGTGACTCCAGGCTTTGCTTCACCGCCGAGTTGCTGGGATTACACTGTGTTCTCTCTTGCTACATGTACCGCCTCGTGAAAAAAGATGATCTGAGGGCTGGAGCACTCCTACATCCTACAGACAGGCTGAGAGAGTTGGGGTTGTTCAGCCTGGAGACCTTAGAGCAGCCTTCCAGTCCCTAAAGGGCCCTAAAAGAAAGCTGGGGAGGGACTTTTGCCAAGGGCCTGGAGTGATAGGACAAGGGGCAATGGCTTTAAACTGGCAGAGGGAAGATTCAGATTAGATATGAAGTGGAAATTTTTCATGGTGAGGGTGGTGAGGCAGTGGCAGAGGTTGCCCAGAGAAGCTGTGGCTGCCCCATCCCTGGAAGTGTTCAAGGCCAGGTTGGACGGGGCTTCGAGCAACCTGGTCTGGTAGAAGGTGTCCCTGCCCATGGCAGGGGGGTTGGGACGAGACGGTCTTTAAGGGCCCTTCCAACCAAACCGTTCTATGATTCTATGATGAAAACCAACCAAATAAAATGGAAGGACTCCCCTATCGGACACCCCTGAAGAAAGCGTGGATTTTCAGTACTAGATTAGCCATAATATTGTGTATTTGCATTTTCCACACAGAATCTCTGTGAATTCTTCCAAAAGTGAACAAAGCGCAATGTGACATCCCGTCCCCGTTCTCTCAGCAGGCATTTTCTTTCTGTCCTCTTCAGCTTATCTTCTACTTTGCTCCTTTGCTCTAAATTCTCTAGTTTTGCTCAGTTCCACTTCCCTTATCTCCCTCAAGTCCTCTCCTTTGCTAACCTTAAATGACATTTACGGTCCCTGCTTATCTACGGTCAAAAGGCCAAATCCTGTTTTCGGTTAAGCCATGATCCTGGAATTTGTCACCCATTTTTACAGTATGTATATTCCTGCTTACTCCTATGCTATCACTCAGGTTTAGAAACAGTCCCCTACAAACGTGTGGGAGCGCAGCTAACTTCTAATTTCCTCTTAAAACTCTCCTTTGGAAAAAAAAATCAAATTACAACAGCTGAACTACCAATTTGTTGAGATTCTCACCAGTCGCACCCATTCACCAGGTCGTACCGTTCCTCTGCTCCCATCATCCGTTTCTTGACTTATATTTGGACTGAAAACTATTGGTAGCACATTCCCTCTTTGAGTTTCAATTAAAAGTGGACTTTCTATGTTCAAAGCATCCCTCTATATTTATGGAAATAGGAGGAATCCTACTAAAAATTAAACCAAACCCAGTATGTTTTAAGTAAGCACATATATATATATATATATAACAAAATGCATGTACGTGTGCATAAACACATATAGTGTTTGCATGTTCATGTGACTCTCCTAATAAAATAGTATTTATACTCATTTATATAAAGTACTTATTACTATGGCTACCCCGTTAAAGAAAGCTAATCTCATTTTGGTTTTTCTCGTGGAAGAACACACACAAGAAATTAATTCCACTTACGTATCAAAAAACTCTATTGGTTCAAATGCATGCATTTATCCTCAAACAGATGTAGCTCCCCTACAACATGAGAGTTGTAGTTCTGAGTGTTTTCAAATTTGGGTGCCTTTGCAACTGCATGTACACTCCAAATACACACGTGTTTGAGAGATGTGAGTCTTTGAATATAGACTTTTAATTTTCTTCAACGAACTCTTAGCTCCAGTTAAATTCATCAAACCAAGACATAAATATTCTCACTCACTCTCTGTCTATATACATATGCATACACACATATATATGCATATACATACACATATGTATACACACACACAATCAGGAGAGCCAAAAATGTTGTTCTTTGTCCAGTACCTTGCAATACATTTTGCTTGCTTGTTCTTCGGTTTCAGACAAAAATGATGAGACCTTTTCTCCATCACATGTTCACAAAGGCATCGACCAGCGCTAGGCAGCACAGGTTGGTACGTGAACCATCCGCGACAGTCCACGTGCTCGCTAAGTAGCCGGTAACCTTTAACACTTGTTTTGAGAGAGGAAAATGGTTTTGGTAGGTACAGAGCCCAGTCATTCTGCATCTTAGCAAAAAGTTAAGGCTTGAGAACCTGGCAGCTTATCAGGCAGATTTCCACAAATACAAACCTCACTATGGGTGTATTTCAAAGTATCACATAACTGTTGAGGAAAGTCCCCAATAAATTACTCTGATGCTGTCTCAAAAGACAACATTCTCAGTCCAGTAGAGGAATTTTAACAGCAGCAACTACTTTTATTTCAAAATACTAAATCTTGGCTTTACTAAAACCAGGAAGAATTTCTTAGGGACTTAAAATCCTTTCTGCATTCTCTTGCTGCCTGAAAAATATCGTTGTATATCATACAAAATAGAAACTGTGTGATGAGATATTCAAAACCGTATTGGACAAACACTGCATAGGCTGTGAAGAACACGCTCCTCGCATTCCCAGAAATGGTCCATGAAAGTTTCACCATCAAGTGGAATGAGTTGTTTTCCAGCTCTAATGTGTGAATCTTTCTTCAGTGGTTCTTGCACAAAACAGGAACTGTGTTCAACGGCATCTGAGACCCCTCCTTTTACCACTTCTTTTTTTTTTTTTAATTGGAAATCACAACCCTGGAAGCATTTGAGCGCAAACTGTTCTCACAGATGTCAAGGGGAGTTTTCAACTGACGTCACCAAGACCTGAATTTTACCCCTTATGTTTGACCATGTTTTGCAAAATTCCCAGCAAAATGGGGTTTTCTACACAACTGTGACATTTGAATAACCCTTGTACAGGTAATAGTAAGAAAGGATTTAGACTTGGAGAATATCCACTTACATGTCGCAGATGCCACTCAACGTGTGTTAAAATTCCAAGAAATAAATGCTCTTTGTGCTCATCCCTAGCGCAGGGCAATGTCTTAAAGGGCACACGTCGTATTTAATTTACTCTGGGCTACATGGACCTTTATTTCCTACAGCCAAAATTTGACTTCTGAAGTAATTCACTAGTCTTTATTGCTACTTTTGATAAAATATTTGCGAAGGAAGAATCTGTGTGTTTCAAAATTAAAACCTGTACTTAGTTCAGAATATTTAACTAGTTTGCATATACAAATTATTGTAGAGCTTTTTTTCTTACATTTGCCCTTTGCTTTGTAAGACAGCAGGTTTCCAGGTTTCTGGATACAGAAATATCCCTAGCCTACACACACACAGAGCCAGTCAGCTTCACACAAATAAAAACCTTTCAATTAAAAAGCAGACCCTGCCTAAATAATGTGACCATAGCAGCAAGTCAAACCCTGAAGGAGGTTGATCAAAGTCCAGGAAAACACACGGTCATTCCAAAAACCCCTTATTCCACCCACTGGAAAATACTAAAAAATACATACAGGACATGGACTTCATTAAAAATCATGTCATGTGCTGAAAGCTGCACAAATTTGATGTCATTTCTGGATAAGGACTCGTATGCCTGAAGGACTTTTTTCAGTTTTATCTGTCAATTAAGAAAGAAAAAGCAAGGTGTCTCTCCCCCTAAATCTTGCCCGGTAATTTCCTGGTATATTTTCCAGGCCAAGTGAGACTGCGCAGATCTGTACTTTGGTACACATGTGCTCATTTGGATTTCCAAAACATCCTTCTCTCTCCTGCATTCTTTCACCTCCTGTCCCTTGCACTTGCTATGCCTTTGCTGTGCTTCTGATGACCTGTATCTTATTCTACATGTATGTATGTATTAAATATGCCTGTGTGTATATAAATAGACACATATACACACGATATACAAACACAAGTACATACAGAAACATACATTAAATGCTTGAGATACATGTGTAAGACTGGTTTCACAGAGTCGCAGTTTGGAAACTTATATTACTTCAGTATAGAGATGTTCACCCCTCTCCACCCCACCTCCTGAAACTCCTAAGGTGCTAATACTGAGCGCTTCCGAGAGTCAAGCCAAGCAAGCTTATTTATCAGTCTAAACTTCCAAACCAATACTGTACTACCTTGGCATTACCGTGTCCTGTTACCTCCCGTGGCAGCCTGCATCGCCCTTAAGGTTAATATTCCAGTCTGTGATCAACAGTAAGTTGCTTCAGACCGTGAGGATTCAGCAAATGCAGGGTCATCCACACCTTTCACAGTAGAAAACTAGAACTATATATAGAAAAGTTAGCTTTTTATCATTTTCTTTTAAGACAGTATGTAGCCAGCTCAAGAAATGAAACTAGCACATAGGACAGTGAGCATACATCCATCGTTACAGAAGCCTGTCTGAATTAGACATGGAAGTCATTAAAATCATTTCAGTTCTGATCTTATTGTATCATTCGATTCACCTTTATTGCTTCCAGTGAGTATCTTCATGACCTGTATCTGAACAGCAACTCACTCAGTTAGTAAAATTTAAATTTACTGTGGTCGCTTACCATAGCTTGCAATACGCACATGAATTTTCTGTCATCATATCTGTGCGTTATGTGCTGAATGACAACTTCTGTTTAAAAAGGAATTCAAGAAATAAAATATTACAGGCATTAATAAAACTTGCCAAAGAATGACATAATAGTCCCATAATCCTTTACTGAGTTGCAAATGAAGTGATCTTCAAGCCTCTTATTACTGTAATAAAAAAATCAAGTACTGTAAAATAACATGTAAGATAGAGAAATTAGACTGGTAAATGAAAAAAATATGATTTTTCTTGATAGGTAAATCTAGTTGTTGGAGCTTCTTTTCCTAGCCATTAAGTCTGATAACATGTCTAACAAGGATTTACAAGAAAAAAAACACTTACTTTATTTTAAAAATAAATTCAGGTGATATCCAGTAGTAAGTAGAAACTAAAGTTACTTTGAAAAGAATAACCAGACTAGAAACCACCAAGTGAGCTGAAGGCTTGGGAACAGTTCACGTCATGTGTTAACATCACTTTGAATCACCAGTCACGCCGAGCCAGTTTCTCTTTTCTGACGCTCTTGCGGTGGCCGACCTTCGTGAGTCTGTCCAGCAGGTGGCTTTGATCCTCTTTTAGATGTCTACAAACCCATCAAGTGAAGTTCCTTCACACAGAAACCCATCAGTGCTGCAGTAGAAAATTCGTGGCTACATTTAAGTCATTATTTGAAGCCCTCAGAGCTTCTAGAGCATCTCCCCTGGAAAATCCCATTTCCATAAGTCGTGCAACCTGAAAAAGAAGTAACATAACACCGCTTTAAAACTGGAGTTTTATTCACACTGTGTGTGCATTAGTCATGCTAACGGTGTCAGAGATAATTTTTCCACTGATCAGGCTGTTCAAGAGCTTACCTTTCCAGACAGTAAGCAAGCATGGCTATGCACCAGCATAAAGACGTATCTGGGACAGCATGCTTGAAAACACTGTCACGGAGATGACTGCTTTCTGATACGCTATTTAAAACCAACCGTTTGCTGAAAATGCCACACCTGTATTTTCCTAGCCGGTCCCATTTTGAAAGAAGAGTAAAGTAGAAAGTATGGCACCACACATGACATCTACAATCTGACCTTGGGGCTTGCTGCTCTCGACAAGAACAGGACCTCAAGAACCCAACACTGACCAAAATACAGAATTTTACAGCAGATGCGAAAACCCGTCCAGACATCCTTAGCTCTACTTTCCTTGAAAAGACCTACTTCTCCAGAGGGCACTAAAAACTCAGAACTATTCATTCTAGGTGGTTTTTAAAATAAACTTCAAAGTCAGCCCTAAAACAGAGGCAGTACAACACTTAAATGGGTTCAGTAAAATTCTTGGAAGGATTCTATGTACTCTCAAAACAGAGTTAAGTCACTGGCATTTGATGGAAGAATTACCTGGAAAAGGGCACATTAAGATAGTGATTCTGGTAATCAATAACCACTTGACCATCCCTCTTTATAATGACACGTAATCAACACTCGACCTTTTTGCTGTGTGCAATGTATGTATAACCAAATTTAAATTCTGGTTAACTTCCAATCTAAAGTACATTTTAAAAAATCTACAATTCTCAATTAGGTATAACTGAAAGTCACAATTTAACTCATTCATTGTTATAGTTCACTTTTATAGAATCACATGTTCATCTTTTATAGTTAATCTTCCAGAGAGGGGAAAAACAAGGTGCAGGGGGACAGGGAGCAGCACATAACATTAACTGTGGCCACTGAAAAAGGTGCCGTTAAAAGCAACCTCCCCTTCCTCTAAGACACCTCTAGAACTTTCAGTATTTTTAATCTTCTCTGCTTTGGGACCTTACTGAGAAATACACTACTGCCAAGTATGCCCGGAGGTGGGGGTCCTCCTTTTCTTAATCTAAACACCCCGCTACAAAACATTTGAAAACGGCTACCTTGGTTGTCAGAATATCAAATACGGTACTGATCGGTTTTGTGCTTTTCCCCCTTTCTTCCCCTCTTACAACGCCATGTCCGTTTCTCACCTTCTTGTAGAGAGAGAAATGAATTGTTACTTTCGACATCTCTGCAACAATAGTGTAACTTCAAACTGGATTTCATAACCTGTAACTTTCTAAAGTTTCCTCTGTCTGATTTTTCATCTAAGATTGTATTTTTTATGAGAAATAGGGCAGGCAGTGGAATAAAAGCTAACCACAGAAATACATTTCAGAAGAACGGTTTTTGCTGCAGTTGCCATGAATTCTAACCTTAAGAACTGGTGGATGGAATTGCAATATTCCCATTTACAGAAATACCCAGCAAGCATCATGGGGAATAGATTGTAACAACAAAAAGCTCTTTTACTCTGAGTATATTTTAACCACAGGAACTGAATCCAGCTCCACGAAACAGAGATGTATATTTGTAACGGTAATTTAAGGTGCTAAAAAACCCACAAGAAATGCAGAGATTTTTGTACCAAAAACATTGCAAATGGTTGCAAATTTTAACCTGAAGAACAGAAGAAAACCTTGCATTTTGGCCATTCTGAGATGACTTGTGCAGTTATTAGTACAGTCCTGAGAAAGCAAAGGCGCTTAGATTACTTTTTTTCTTTGCAGGGTAACTAGACAGCATTGCAAATGACAGCAATCAGGTGAGCTCCACAACTTCAATGCATGAGAAAATATAAGAGTATATTGCTTTAATAAATCTGGGCCTAAAGGCTCTGGGGAAGAACCCAACTTAAGTCAGACTAATAACTATTGCATTAGTTCCAGCCCAACAATAAAAGCTCCCATAAGCAGAATCTGTCAATAAAAGAAATAAACAAACCAACCAAAAATGGAAATCTTTTGGTCCACCCCATCCCTGGCACTGAGTAGTAGGCTTTCAGGTCATCCCAAACTAAGTTTCTGGGTTTTGTCTCAGAAGGTGTTCTTTGGTGTGGGTTTTTTCTTTTTCTTTTCGGTTTTTTTTTGGCTGTTGTTGTTGGTTGGGTTTTTGTGCCTTTTTGGATGTAGCCCAGCAGGTTTGCAGTCAAAAAGACCAGTGCAGTTAAATTTTTGACATTTTGAACATAATCTAACATTGAATCAAAATGAGAAATCAGCTCATAGCAAAGATTGCTGTTTGGGACAAGCTCATTTTAAACTAACTAGAAATGACAGCATAGTGCTAGTAGGTGTTGATTTATCTCCATAAAAAAAGGGAAAAGGAAAACAATAACTCACCCGTGAAACCTACTCTTGTTCAAGGGCAGCAGAGACCTTAGACTATAAAATGGCCAATGCAGCTAACTGCAGATAGGCTACCACCTGGAGAACTTGACTGCATGCAATGAATCCTGAATATGGAAATAAGACTAATCTTAAATTCTTACAATTCTCTAGTGAATCATCCTCTCTTTTGAGAATAAAATTATCAACAAAAGTCTAAAAGTTTAAATCTATACAGTAAGTCTAAATCTATACTTGACAGAAAAGACACAAACTTCTCTGTGGCATGAGTTTGCGAAATCAGTCAAACACATTATTGAGGGAAACATCCAAGTTTTAGATCAAGTGTGTGTCGCAGTCCACAGCTGGCATAACATTTTTCTTTCCAAAAACCTACATGACTGAATTGGAAACTTAAGCTGGAGACCTCAGTGAAGGACACGTCTACAAGACAAAAAATGAAATCTATTTGTCATTCTTCCTTCTTTTGAAACATTTATTTTCTAAGTTTTGAACAGCCTCCACTAGTGAAACTGTCTCATCGTTAAATACAAGAGACAAGCAGTTACACATAAAAGCAGAAACTCCCAAGTTGATCTGTAACTCTGCTTTGGATGGTAATGACAAATTGTGAGCGTTATCTGATATTCTAATTTGTGCTGCTACAAAGAAGGTTTAAGAAACTGTGTCAACAGATGATAAAAGATTAGTAGGGGTAATTCCTAACCAGTTTTTTAATGCCATTTTAAAACAGACGAATATTTACCTGCTCTTCAGAAATCTCGGTAGGTGGAGGTGTGTCTTCTTCAGACGGGTGATGGTCTTGATAATTCGCATTATGTCTATGACGTAAAGGAGGAAACAGTCTATTCCAGTTAATCATCCCACCCTGAAACCAGACATTGCTGTCAGTCTTTGCAAAAAGAATACAGATATTTTTAAACAAAAAGATCATGCATCCCACATAATACAAAAAGCAAATATTTGAGTAAAATACTTTATTTTAAACAACAAAAACTGCTGCTGTCTTTTATGAACTAAAAGTTAGGACTGGTTACTGCTTTACTAGTTATTAGAAGTAATCACTGTGAATTAAGGAAAAGTGCTAACAGAAGGAGGAAAGGATGTTTCACATCCATTGTGAAAGATGTGGCTTACTACAGTGCTAGATTTCTCAGGCTGAAGGACCGCTCTCTTCACCGATACGGATTTGCCTGGCAAGAGATGCAACAGCGGATCCTGCAAGTGCTTTGCAAGACTGCCGCTGGAGTTAACCAGGGAAAAAAGAGTGCAAGAAATAAGTTGGAGGAGAAAAGCAAAACTGGATTCTCAGTGCATCAGCAAAACCACATCAGGAAACTCAGAATAAGCCCAGCCTTCAGGATATCTGTGATTTCCATGCAGGTGGTTACTCCTGTGACAGCAGCGTGACTGTTCCAGGACACACAGACCACCTCACCTAACTTCCGTGTTATTAAATACCATTGCAAAATCTGGCTCTATTCCAGCGCCAAAACATTTTGTAACTACCTAGTAATAACACAAACACACAGCAGTAATGTACGTATGGTGTAAATCACGGAACAGAAGCTTTCTTTTAACAGCCAAGCTGCAAGCCTTGTAATAAGAAGCTGTTTAGAATATAAAGAATACAAATGCTCAAGTCCAAGCTTTATAATTGTCCAGAAATAATTAATCCTCATTGTATTAACCTAAAGAAATATTTTTTAAGGGATTTTCTATCACACCAAAACCACAGGCCCTGCAAGCAGGGAAGAAGAGCAAACCCCAAATCTCTCTTTTCTAGTACAGTTTGTTAAAACATCTTTTGCAGTTTGTGTGGTTCTTTTCCTCCTCCCCTGCTCCCTCCGTTACTATGGAGAAGATCCCCCTCCCTTTCTGTATATATAGGACATGGACTTCCTTCCTCTAGTTGCTCTATTTTAGTTCTATAATGTCGTTTCTCAGAAGATGTTCCTCTTAAAAGAGGTTTTTTCCTTTCTTCTCTCAGCGAGGGCTCTTCCTGCCTTTATGTAACCCTAAAGCACTAAACGCTCTCTGCTCAATCAGATCAGCAGCAGCTAAACCTGCTCCTACACAACAACAACAAAATAATCTTGTTTATTTAGTTCTCCTGCCCTTTCCTTTGTTTTCTTCCTTTCTCTCCAGAGGAGACCACACCAGCCCAGACACCTCAGAGGGCAGTGCAATACCACACTTAAAAAAGCATTTGGGGAGTCCCGAGCTTTGAAACGCTAGCTTGTGAAGTGTTCTGGTCTCTTATACACTAGACCGTGTTTTTACCCGTGAAGATGTGCAATAGCTAGGAGTCATTACTTGTTTTCAAGACCACCGTTAAGTGATTTTTGAATTTAAAAGATGATTACGTATCATCTACATTTCTATTTTGCATACTGTATAAAACATTTGCTTAAAAGTCATGAGCTTTTCACCAAAGGATTCTGTACAAGTCTTACATTATCCAAACAGCGTAGCATAGTAAAAAGGAGAATTGGTTTGTAGTTTAAACCCACAGAGGGATCTCAGACTTTCTACTGACACTGCTGCACTACTCTGTGGTCTTGGAAAATCACGTCCTGTACTTCCCCATCTATAATTTCCCCTAAATCAGAATTATGTTGAGTTTTAATTCATTAACTTTGAATTTCTGAAGGTCTACTAAGCTCTATACTTCAGCAAGAACACTGCATTAATGCTGCTTTGCCTGGTTTTATTCTTTTGAAAAGACCTGAGGAGGAGAAAATAACACTTCCACTGGTCATTCACATGAAATTGGTGAATTGAAAAATGCCAACAGGACTATGCCACATTCCCTTGAAGCACCAGAAGTCATACAGAATGATGTATATGAAATATAAAATCTAGAATAAATCTATTAATTTAGCAGTATTCCAGTGTATCTGAAGAATAAACGTACTTTTCCAGCTGTGCCCTCAGCTTCAATACTCAGCTGCCTATTCTAGTTTGGTTTTGCATCCTCCCTGTCCTGTGCGCTGTCACCTAACACTACAAAGAGACTTGTCTACTTCCTTATCCTAAATTTACAATAGCTTTTAAATTAATGTACACAGAATTCATTACTTCCAATAAAAAATCCAGATTCCTTACAGAGGTAATGATTTAGTATTGAAGGTTTACAGCAGGTATCTTGATAAACTACAGATATGGACTGACGTATTCAGAAGAGTTCCATGTGAAGACTGCTAACCCTTTCCCAGAAATAACAGACTAGACAAATTAGATGAAAATAGTTGTGAAAAGATCTTTTTCAGTTGCCCTCAGAATACTTCAATTACCTTTGGACATTGTGACAAACGTAACTCATCCGTTCTTAACTATATTAATGAGGTAAGAATATCCAACATACAGCAACAAGTATTAAAGGCTGAAACTCTTAATGGCGCGTGAACACTGATATTTAGGATTAATTCCAACATTGTAGTTAACTTCTCATCTGTGTATTACTTTACAAACTGCACCAAAACCAGGCCCAGTAGACTTCTTTATCTCAAACTGCAAGAAAATCGTTTCCCCTCACAGACTTGCCTCTAATTACATGATGGACATGCACAAAGTCAGCCTCAAAAGAGCAGGGATTCAGGGAACTGCAGCAGGAGCTATGGGACTGGTACTGTGGGCAATCCCATAGAGTAAAGGTAAGGAAAAATTAGGAAGTGCAGCTAATGTCTTAGATCCAGAGAAGATGGAGATCAAGGCTATGGATTTCCAGTGTGGATGGTGACCGTGTAAAGACTTTCGGACAACCTTAACTATCACAGCAGAAATACACAAAGATCTGTGAATTTTAATTTGACCCAAAGCAAAAAGCAAAAAATGTCTTAACGTAAATATTGCAAATTCCAGTTAAAAAATGCTCTGAAGGAGATTTCTAGCCCAATACTTCGCCTTCCCTCACAGAAATTATTTGGCAGACCTCCCCTTCATAATTTGATGATTATTTCTGTATTATAGTGTTTTTTGACCATGCTAACACACTCATTCTGCAAGAAGTCAGGAAGATTTCACATGAAGCTATCCAAGCTGATGAACTTATTTAAGTGATGCTTCTAAACCATTTGAGAGTCCCTACTGGGGAATCAGTAAACAATATTTATGCGTTTCACAATATACTCGAATCCTTGGCACCAGCACCCAAGAGCACAGATGAGCTCGCACCCATCTCCTTACCCTCCACAGGAGCCTTGTCTCAGATAACTGAGCTCTCTGGAGTGGTCCAAACCAGAGGCAGAAAAGGAGCTAACAAGCTGTGAGGATGATCAAGGGTCCAGTATGTAAGCTCCTTTCCTAAGCAGCACCTTCTGTGACAAGTGTCTGCCCATCTAATCCATTTAATGAAATCCAGGCAGTTCTTCCATGATTCCAATTTGTCGGTTTGTTACAAAAGGAAGTAAGTTTAATACTAAATGGTTTGGGGACTGGGGCTTAACATGACTCAGGACTAGGTAAGGAGGATGCATTAAACCTCTTGCATCCAGAGCCAGTTTCCACAACTGACAGACTCAGGCTATCCTGCACCGAGATTATCTCAGGTGACATTTTTCTTTGTCCTGAATCTTAGGTGTTGGGGAGCAGCAAGCGCAGGTGCTGCTCCAAGAGGAAAGGCAAGCTGAGAGCCAAGGGTGACAACAAGGCAAGCAGAGGCAGTGGTCCCACTGAAACGTGCTCTGTTCCCACAGGCTTCAAGCGAGAAGAGCAAAGCACGTCCAGTGATAGTGCTCAGCCAAAAGTCCAGATCACCAGGCAGGTGTAAGATCAAGCCTAGAAGTCAGCGGGTCAGGAGCAGGGAGGGACATACGCCGGTTGGCACATGTGTATCCACAAAGCTCAGCAAGGACCAAGGGCAAGGACCTGAACTTAAAAGCAACTCCCAGTCGAAGCGGGTGAGGCCCCAAAAAGACTTCTCACCGCTCTTTCTCACACAAGTCAGCTCCAAGGCTGAAGAGTTGCACTGTACCAGAGCTGGCCCTCAGCACAGGTAGCCCATCCCCTGGAGAGGCTTTTGGGGCACTTGGGGACATGACATAAACCAATGCCTTCCTCCATTCAGTAGCCACTCCTCACGTTATCTATGCAAAGGTGAGATTTCTTGTTCACATCTGCTTCCTTAGTTCAATTTTTCCATGTCCAATTGTGTGAAAGCTGCAAGATTTACTACAGCGAAAGGAAATTATTTTTTAAAATTTTTTTAACTCCTCCATTGCTTCCTTTGTGCTGCAGGATGAGAGGCTCGAGGAGGCCTTACGGTGTGAAAACAGCACCGAGCTCACTGTAGTCAAGAAGCTGAAGGTTGCCACCAACTTCCATGCACTGGTCCCAGTCCCTGCAGTGGGACGCTATGAAGAACTTCCAGTCTGCATTGCCAGCTGTCATACTTGTTTTAATCAGAAACTCTGTTCTGGAGGTCCTGACTGCTGTGCTACTAGAGAGAGACAAGCACTGAAAAATTCAGTCTATAGACTATCAGTCTTAAAAATACTTTGTACAAATTTGTGACCGGGCCCTTATTTCTGTCCACAACATAGTCTTCCACATGTCATCAGGAAAAACACTTAACAAAAAGACTGTTTCATTAATTATTTGACTAAAAGGGTGATGGTCACACCTAAGAAAGGCCTATAAGCCTTTCCCCCTCCCTTACTCCTAGGCTGTAATTTTTTAATTAAAGAGAAATTCAGTTTCCTTGCATTTAGCAGTGCAAAGACTGGGTGAATCGGTTGATTGTAAATTCTTTTTTACTGCCTGATAGCAGACAAACACACCAAGGAGGCCATTTTATTAATCTCTGATAAATTGCTACTAGAACTGGATCAGAAGAACGCTGGTGATGTTGGAGTTTCCGTTACAGGA